TCATATCTCTGCAATGCACCGTCAGTCCTCATTTGTTAGCGCCTGCCTCAACTGTATATACTAGGAGTCTCTCTGGCAGCAACAGTGACTTTGCAGCTTCAGCTACGCACCATTGTAGGAAAGCGAGAGAATGAATTGTAAGTCAGAAATACCTTGACGTCTCGGTGGATGACATTGTTGTCATGGCAATAGCGTAGCGCCTCGAGGATCTGTCTCATGTAGTGGCTGAGAAAAGACATTGTCGTGATTTATCTCAGTTAAGTGTTTACATGTAAGTAATGACTGAAATACCAATACAGAGCATAAAATAAAAACAGGACGAGAGAGCATCTTCAGGGATGAAAAAAAAAACAGGCATAAAACTCACCTGGCCACTGCTTCACTGTAGACAAAGCCAGCATCTGCCCTCTTCACGATCTCAAAACACAGGTCTGCTCCATCCATACTGATAAAGATAGAGATTGAAGGGGAGAGACACACACACAGAGAAAGAGAGGTTTGGTGTGGTGTAAAGGGCAGGGCGGGAAAGGTCACACTTATTAAAACTTCTCTGTGATTAGCTTTGCAGGTGAAATGGGGGAGACAGGTCAGTAGAGGAGAAGCTGCAATCATGTTGGTCTCTGTCGGCTGAAGCTCTATCACCACAGCTGCCAAAACTAAAGCTGGTACGAGAGAGCCAGTCTGAGGTCAATCGCTCAAGAACGCCAGGATTTTTAAGGATGACCAATAGATACTCAACTAGAGGGAGCTTCTTTTGTAGCAGGTACATTTGAAAGTAGCACAAGGAAAGAAGGTGGTTAGGTGCTACTCTCTAAGCCAAAATCTGTGTGTTGTCTGATACTGAATGAGATCTTTTGCACTGTTAGATCACGCGGCTCTTAAATGCATTTAGAATTTAATTTTATGGACAGAAAATAGTGGCAAAAAAAGTGTAGCTGCGTCTGTGTACACATCGCTTCTTGAACGAATCACAATGATTTTATAAATTACCCAATAAAAGCAGCTAATCCTTTGATAAACTCAGTGAGCGTATGTGCCAAAGCAACTTCAAGTTTTAAAACTGTGGGTAAACATGTACTTCTCACAGAGAGATGAGAGTGTTTGCACAGAGTAGTGCAGCTCCACAATATTAACAGAGCCTTCAGGAGGAGAAGCTGTTGCTTTAATGGTGAAGTTTAATGCTGCCACATTTACAAAATCCTTCCGGAGTCATTTACAGTAAAGATGTTGCTCTGGTGACGGCTTCTCAGCCCAGTTAAAACCGGGCTCGAGCCAGAGGTGACAGCTTGTCTCAATACTCAGCTTGCAATCAATAACCTGACTTTAAAACTGCGGCCATTAGGCCCTCACACACTGCCTCAGTTCTGTTCAGCTGGCTGTTTACTTACACAACACACATCTAGTGGACTGAATGACAATCCTCAGATACACGCACTCACTTAATTATGACCCAGTCACACAGCAGATTCTGTCTCTGGTTATTGCTCTGTTGCCATTCTTCCCCCAATTACTGCAACCTGCTCTTTACTGTCTCTAAGCCTCTGCACCAATTAAACAGGGCTGTTACGTAGGACTTGGCTGCAGACTCTATCACCTCAATCAGCTCACATTTTAGCCTGCTTGATTAGCGACCTGGGAAATGGGGAGACACATGAAGCTGTCCGCATTCATCTGCCATGTTTACTCAGCTCTCGACGGGCCGCACCACTACAAAGAAAAGGTCTCCGATCTGCGTGCATTAGTGTGTGTGTGTGTGAAACAGAAGCTTGTGCACAAATGGGCTTCAAAAACTGTGAAAAATCCCTTTAAACAGAGCTCACTTGCATTTCCTTGAAAGTTTTCTCCTGTGCACCAAGCCGTGTGATAAAACTATGAGCCGAGCCCGAGCACTTTCCTGTTCAGCGATAACAGAATTAAATGATAAAGGAATTAGTTCTGGAAGAGGAGGAAAGATGAAGATACCGAGCAGGCTGGGAGGAGCTCAGCGAAGGCGTAGCTTTGAGAAAGGCTGGTGGTGGCAGCAAGTGTGAAATCTTAATCTCATCTCTTTTCCCTCATATATATGCTGCTCTCCCCGCTTTCTTTTTTTCTTACCCCCACCCTCAGCTAACCAGCTCTCATATCGGTTGATTATATAAAACCGCCACAGGGTTTGCTTTCTCTCTGTCCTGCTACTGCTACAACCGCCTTCCTAATGCAGTCATCCGTTTCTCTCTCTCCTTCCTTATCGCCCGACTGTGCGTCCTCCTTCCACCTTATCTTCAAAGGTGTAACCTTTTTTAACTTTCACCCCCAGGTGCGTTTTATGTGCGGCTTTTTATGCGTGTTCAATCATGCCGAGTGCACTCTTTGACAAGCGGAGACTTACAACTCGAAAACCATGTAGAGCATCCCATCTGAGCTGTACGTCTCCAGAAGCTCCACAATGTGGGGGTGCTTTAGCATGTGGCAGATGCTGGCCTCCCTCTTCAGATCTGAGAACACAGAGAGAAAGAAAGGAAGGTGAGCATATATACAGTATATTTTATTTTTTCACCGCCATGGGAGAGATCTAATACCATGTTACACTAGAACCAGAATCATAAGTCCATCCATAGAGTGTGAATGCTGAACTAACAAAGTTTGGGACAGCAAACGTCTCGACCAATCAGAGTCTTGAGTGAAATTTTATTTTTTTATATATTTATCCCCCCCCACCCTTGCTTTAATTAATGAACTGTATAAAATGAATTGTTCTTTTGTAATTTATTTGTAGCTTTGGCAATATTGTTGTTTTCCATCCATGCCAATAAAGCTAGATTGACAATAGATTACATAAAATGGGACACCCTAAATATTACCAGCAGAATTACCAACTGTTGCTACCTGAATAGTGCAGCAACAAAGAAGACAACCTAACGAGAACACGGCTAATTGTCTTGCTCTCAGCATTTTTTTTTTTTTATACATTTAGAAATGTAAGCAGGATCTCTTTCCCCCCCTCGACTTCATCCCTTATGAGCTTTTTGCCACAGTCTGACCAGACCTGTCAGATTTGGCCTTTTTATTGCCCTTACCCTCATTACACTGACATAAAACTGGCATGCCCTTCCTTATTTTGCAGAAGTTCTCTCTGACACCACGGACAACGTGCAGCATGTTGAAAGAAACCTTTATACCACACTACTATGGGGTTTTTTTTGTCACGAGTCTACGCACTTGAACCCTGAAGCTTCTACACCTCGGCTATATTTTGACAACCTTAGGGCTCTCTGCAGCTAAGCTCTTACTGTTAGCGGAGAGGAAAATGGAAAACGCATAGTGCAGCATAAGGGTTGCACTCCTGAAAAACCGTGATGATGACTCATCTGCAGGACTGTCGTGTATGCAAAAAGCTCTCTGCATCTGTTTTGGTTCAAGTGATGTTTGTTTTCATTCACCCCTTTATTTTAGATCCTCTTACTGCTGCCTGGCAATAAGCATCTACCCCTTTAATTGGCTGTTAAAGAAGACGAGGGTTAATGGAGGGGAGTGTCTGAAGCTGAAAAGAACAATGCGCTGGGGAGAGATGAAAACACACACCACCAAACAAGCCCCCCCCCCCTCTTGTGAGACAAACAGCAGTGAGAAACTACATTTCTTTTAGTTTTTAAAGGATACAAACAGAGGAGAAGATAACTGGATATTCATTTGATGAAACCAGAGTGTTGACAAGACAGATGCGCATGGGGACCAGAAAAAAAACAGCAGAGACAAATCAATACTTTGTCACTGTCGCTCTGATGCAAATGGCAAAACATTCTGTCGTGTAAAACGGGTTGAATGGAGCAAGGATGGAAGGAAGTTGGTGCATCTACTAAACTGCAGAACACCACTGGATTACAAAGCTTTTACATGAAATATTTGCTCACATAGTGGCTACTGAAAAGTGAGCACTGAAATTAATCATTATGGCATCCAAACTGCATCCCATAGACTTTTCGCTTGCGACATCCATTCTAATCTTCTGTTCTGCATCCTTTTTCTTCTTCTCCTTCTGCTGTTAATTATAATGTGCCTCTCTCCAGCTGATTACTGTATATCAGACAGCTTTATTTAACATTTTTATTCTGAACTTGCAACAAGGCACAAGATGTGACCGTATTTGAATTAGAGGGTGACGCTAGCAAGCTCGGTTAGCTAGCTGCATCTGTAATTCACTTTAAGTGTGATATTAACCGGGATTCTAAGTTTGGTTAGAATTAAGTTTGGCTGATGAAGTAGTCCCTGGCAGGTTGTGGCCCAGAATTCTGGGAAATCAGACTTTAAGTACTTCCCAGCTGTATATCACATTAATTCCTGACCATATAAAAAACATTAATTCATTTAAGAAGACCACACTAGCTAGTGTGCATGTCTGCCTCACTAACCCAGCAACAGGTGGATGTGGTTAACAGAACACAAATCTGACAGGTTATACAAGCAAACAACAGCCAAGACAGTAAAGACTGGATTTGATAAACAATAGGGGTTGCTTTCAATATGAACATCTGAACACAGCCTATCCCGTCAATCTCACTTTCATCCTTCCATTCAATCTCTCAATCCTTTGATCCATTCATTCATGCTTTGCCTCCTGGCAGCTGTTGTTCTGAGACGTGTGGAAGGTTGAAGCCGACCAAGGAAATATAGAGCATATACATAACCTTTCTGCTTGAGCATAACCTCAATTTCATTTGCTGTAAATGCATCACAGAGTGCACTTAACTGTATTAACTTTTTATATCCATCTCTCCTACTGAAATAGCAAGGTTTTGCCAAAATATACATGCTCAGTACACAGTACATGGAACTTAAATGATTTATGGACAGGAACACTGAATGGATAAAAGTAGATGTTTCTTCAAAGACCCGATACCTTCACACACACACACACACACACACACACACACACATATGTATACATACTATGAACTATAATGAAAAATCCTTGTATTGTTCTTCTAGGTGCACAATGACATTTAATTAAGCCCAGAGATGAAACCACGAACCACTTGTGTTGCTGCGAGCCTCTGCGCTAACATTAAGTTAATCCTTCGAGGACAAGCACAAGGCTTGGGCTAGCTCTAACACCATGCTAATGCTTCTAAAGCCAGATAAGTGGCTACCTTAAGGGCATTGCAGCCTGCCACGTTTGATGTCATCTGGTGAGCTTGCTGCTTATGTCCGTCACTGTAACTGCTGCTGGAGATTACACATGATACTTTATTAGATGCTATTGCCCAACCTATTTTATTGAGCTCAGAAAAACTTCAGCAGAAAAGCCACTCTCATTGCATTTAAGTTAGCTGTGTGTGGTTGTGTGTGTGAACACTCAAATCAAATAGGACGCAATTGATCCTGTGCCAAAAGTGGATGCAGCAGAGAATTAATAAGCAAAAAAAACGACTATGAGGAAGAGACAGATAGGTCTGCAGGATGTGCTGTCCGAACGTGGATATGCACAACACTGCACACACATACAAAAAAGTTACAGAATATAATGAGAGGTGTAAGGTGCATGATACTCAAAGTTCATCATCAACAATAAAATTCTCTGAAAAACCAAGTAATCCAAGCTCAGTGTGCATTTGCTTTAACAAGAATATGAGCTTTATTTAAAATTCAACTAGCGTTTCTATTCTACTAATTGACTGTCGATAATATGAACTAATAAATGCAAAATGGAAAACCAAACTTAACCTTCAACTCCCTGAGGGCCAGACATAGACCTATCAATTTAATTTAACATTAATAACAAATAATTATTGTGAAGCAGGCACTGACATCTTCTCTGCAATGCATTAACGTCAAGCAGAGATGTTTTATAGAGGAGGCACACCACTCAATCACATCCTCAATACAACTCTATGGGGAAAGCCTGTAATGGAAAAGATGGCGGTTATCCCGCCCCTCCTGCTAGAAAGCCAATCGTCTGTTTTTAACAGCCAATGCGGGAAACATTTCAGCCAATCATGTGATTCCACTAACGTAAGGGTCTGTCTTACTTTGACTGTGCATGCGTGGTAGTTTTGCAATTTTTTTTATTGAAGTTTTGCTAAAGTTCACTATTCAAGGCCAGTCTATTTTTTTACGGAAGCCACATCAAGCAGCACAGAGCAGGTGAACCGGGGCAGGAAGTCAGACACAGAACAGCCTAGAGAATCTAAATAAAACACCCTTTGCTGACTCCCAATCATATATCAACAATAAACACAGTTAAAACAGACGGAAAAAAACAATTTAACTACCGTAAAACTTTGAATAATAGCCCGAGCTTTTATTTGCTAAAATCACTGAATTGACCCTGGCTATATTTGAGACAGGCCTTTAATTCCTTTTGCACAAAACTGAAACTACTATGAAACAGTTTATTGATTTCAAACAGAATAATACTTGTATAAAAATGATCAAATAATAGAAAATACAGGTCATTCATTTGATCTAGCTCCGACAGATGGCTTATGCGCTTTTATTGTTAAGTAACATCACGACAACAACATGGTACTGGATGAGAGAAGTTAGCAGACAGAAATCGGACTTCACACAAGCTGTTTTGATTCTTTTGATCGGTGGACCCTTACAGAATAGGCCAGAACAGGAATATAAGTAATCAAGGAAGGACTCATTTGGGCTTAATGAGCCTTAAATGTAACAGCAGACTTCCTTTCCTCTCTTGTACCAGGCATGTTACACCGGTGAATCTATAAGAACTAGACTTTGGGGCTCGTTGTTTGCCTTAAATGAACTTGACGCCGAACAAAACCGCGTCACAGCCGCTGCCTGTGTCGGCTCGTCTGGCGCCATTATCCCACATTTTCCTCTAGTTTCATATGTTGTTGTAAAATGTTCACGCCCTGTGCCAGCTCTGATTGGTGAGTAGCACCGTAACAGGAGGCGCATGGCGCTTGTAATTGGCGAGCAGATCTGTCACACAAGGATGATAACGGAATTAATTTGTTACTGCATGTTTAGAACGGGTTAGATGCGTATAATTAACTGTATAATTAACCTACATTTTAATCGCTATCTTCGCAATTAGCTAATCGTGTTCTTCCAAAACGCTATTTCGATTGGAAAACGATTAATCGTTCAGCCCTAGTTGAGATTTAAATTATTGAGATGATATGAATGAAACATCTCTAAGTAGTGACAGACTGACTATAAGGGGCGATATCTGGCATTTTTAAAGAATCGGCTGATACCTGCACTCACAAGGTCAATAAACAGAAGGTGTCTGCGGACACGTCTGCAGGTAGCCTCGTCAGTGAGCACTCATCAATCAAATCATCATATACTCATTGTTCTGAGGATCTTTTGTTTTTTTGTGGAAGCAACAATAGACAATAAATCAACAGCTGGCTGGGAAAGCATGGAATCTATCAGTATGCATGCTGCAGGCAGATTCCTGTTTCCCATTGCTACTGTTTACATGTTGTATTTTTATTTGCTCCCTCATGCTTTACAGACAGCTGTG